CTCTACAATATGGTGAGACATTAATCTTGCTATATGTGGCCAAAAGAACTCTGAACATATTTAATTATCTAGAAAAAATTATAGATAAGTGCATGGTACGTGGGTTTCCGGTGTCAACACCGCGCTTGTTTCGAGACGCGAGGGAAGATTTCTTGTAATTTCTTAATTCTGCAGTGTCACTCAATATCAGGTCATCCAGAAGACCGTGAGACATTGTTCTTACCTCGTCTGACAAAAGAAAACAATATCATTGCCGAAAATATAAGAAAAACTAGTTACATCACTTAATTCATGGCGTTCTTTATTTTTTTTAGGTTAAGGTGGGGAAAGATGGAAGGCATGCTGGGGCTCAAGGCACAGCCAGACATGAGGGATAGAGAAGTCACAACATATAGTCGTGGGGGGAAAGGTTGGAAAAGAAGTTTAATGAGTCAAACAGAGGGGGACGACACCCCTTGTTTTATATATTACAGAGTTTGTTGACTAACTAAGTTATCCTAGGATTTAGGATGATGTTGCACAATGGTTACTTTGTTTTACAATAACTAGTTTGATTTTACAATGACATGTTTATTAAAATCTTATTGCTGTATTACGTTATGGACTCACTGGATTGTAACTTGTTAAATGTGATCTTATATCATCTAAGTTTTAATCTAAGGTGGATCGTTGTGGCGGATATAGACGGGTCGCGGGATGGGTTGTTGTAATGCGGCCAGGCGTGGGGTCGCCCTCCGTTAATGTCTTCCCCACGCAGGTGGTCTGGGCTGTGAGGGTCGTCCAGGAGCTTGTCCAAAACCTTCTTCCCTAGGCGATGGAATCTGACGTTGAGGGCCTCTGTTTTATTTCTTAGGTGGATGGTTTCCACTGTCTCCTGGTAGGGTGGCGCTTGGCCACTGGCTGACCTCAAACACTTGTTTTGGAAGCTCTGTAGTTGTTGTAGTCTAGCCTTCCCGAATGTGACGAGTGGTATAGATGGGTACTCCAACACAGGCCTCACCAGCGCCTTATACAAGTGGACTTGTATCTTCTCAGGCATAAGTTTAAAATGTTTTAATTTGGCGGCGGCGACTTTGGCTTTCTTTAATCTGTCCTTCACGTGGGAAATGATGCCCGTCCGAGAGATGATGAGGCCGAGCAACCTGCCTTGTTTAGAGTACTCAATCTCTTCGTCGTCGATCATCAATGGCGCCGGCTTGAATTTGGCTGTGGGTATGACCTCGAATATCGTTTTGTTTGTTTTTATTTTCCATTTATTTTCATACTCCGAGATCTCCTCTATTGCCCGAGCAGTGAGTCGCGCCTTCCTTGCCGTGAACCTTCCTTGGCAGGTGACAATCTGTGTTACATCGTCGACATACATGACGTACTCGCTGTCGACAACTGAGGGTGGCAAGTGAACTGTGTAGAGAGTGTAAAGGGTTGGCGAGAAACAAGATCCCTGAGGAACGCCGCTCGAGAGTGAGAATTCTTCTCCACAATGTTCTTGCATCTTGATTTTGGCTCTGCGGTCCGTAATGAAGTTGCACAGCAGGCACGTCAGGTTTTCGGGTAGCCCCAGTTGTATGATCTTATACTGCAGCCCCAGTTGTATTATCTTATACTGCAGCCCCAGTTGTATGATCTTATACTGCAGCCCCAGTTGTATGATCTTATACTACAGCCCCAGTTGTATGATCTTATACTGCAGCCCCAGTTGTATGATCTTATACTGCAGCCCCAGTTGTATGATCTTATACTGCAGCCCCAGTTGTATGATCTTATACTGCAGCAGTTGTATGATCTTATACTACAGCCCCAGTTGTATGATCTTATACTACAGCCCCAGTTGTATGATCTTATACTACAGCCCCAGTTGTATGATCTTATACTGCAGCCCCAGTTGTATGATCTTATACTACAGCTCCAGTTGTATGATCTCATATTGCAGCTCCAGTTGTATGATCTTATACTGCAGCCCCAGTTGTATGATCTTATACTACAGCCCCGCGTGCCAAACTTTGTCAAACGTCTTGCTGACGTCCCTCAGTACTATGTTGCACTGCAGGCGGCCAGTCATGGCGTTGGCGATCTGCTCGTAGGCCTGAGATATGGCGGTGGATGTGCCTCGGTACTGGTGGAAGCCGAACTGGCGGGGATTATGCACATCTTCGTCCTCCAGATACATCCGCAACCGCGGACAGAAATCCCGTAGAGATAATTTTGTCGTCTGCACGGTAAGTGGGAGTAAGTGGTGACGTCATTGCAAATGGCGGCCCTGTTTCTAGAGAAATAAACTTATCTCGACTATTATAGCAGGACTTTAAACTTTTATACAAATTATATATACCGTATCACTCTACGAATGTGGCAGAGGGTATTTCTTGTGTTTACCCAGAACCGTCAACTCGTCAATTATAGTTACAGTATTTGTGCAATATACGGGTGCGTCAACTATGCTCAAATCCCAAGAAGAGAACACATCAAGTATTATAGATTTCCCAGAGATAAGAAAAATTGTGATACATGGATAAATGGCTGCAAGCGCTCTGATAAAATAAACACCTTATTAGGCAAGACGAGAACTTGTTTGAAGAGAGTTCATATTTCTTTTGTATCTCTTTAATTCTGGAATATCTCTAGATATCCAGGTATCTGCAGGAAGTTGAGCCATTTATCTTGCTATATGTGGCCCCCAAAAACCCTGAACACCTTTAATAATCTTGAAAAAATCGAAACTTAAGTACATCAGTACGTGGGCTTAAGGCAAGTAGCTCTTGTTTCAAGACGCGAGGGAAGATTTCTTGTAGTTTCTTAATTCTGCGATGTCAGTCAATATCAAGTTATCTAGAAGACCGTGAGACATTGTTCTTGCCATGCCAGACAAAAAGAAAACAATAATATTGTCCAAAATAAAAAAAACCAGTTACATCACTTAATTCACCGGCAACGGTCGTGTTGCTTAATGCCTAGAGAAACTTGCTATATTTTCTTAAGTATACATTGTAAGGCAATATCCAGTAGTCCAGAGTGCCCTCAGACACCCACTTTGCCATGTCTGGCAAAAGGAAAATCTTTGCATTGCTAATAAGCTAAAAAAAAGTTTAGTTGTTTCGTCCATGCCATCTGCAAAATACCCAGTAACCCCCGAGTCCCCTTGTAATATTTTTTATTTTTATTTTTTTGCTATATCACTTATTTTGGGGAGGATTATGAGAACAAAAGGCCACAAAAAAGCCTTAGCCTTACGAGTATTCTGAAAAGAAAAGAAAATTAAACAATCAAACATCAACCAAGGCAAGGCCGTAGTCCTTGGGCACCATCTGGTCACCAGCGGTAGCGTGGCGCCATTGAATGGGGCTGAGCTAATTTTATGACGTTACAGCGGTGTGTCCTAACTGTTTTTAGTCCTTGACGTAGGCTATGTGGTGCAGTAACTCGTCCGTAGACCTCACGTGGTCATGGAGACACCGGGTGGTGTGGTGTTCACATCGTGCAGTAACTCGTCCATAGGTATTGTTCCCAGGGTGGACTGATTAACACCGCCTGGTTCGAAGATGGTGGTCGGTTCCCAGGGCTCTTGCTGGAACTGTCTATTGCTGAATTCTCTACCTTAAACACTGTTTATCACTGTTCAACACTGATCCCACTTCTTTCCGAAACGAAATTGTCAATTTTGGCGGCATTATGTTGATATCAGGGTGGTGAGGATGGGTCGAGTAGGGGGACTTGAGGAATGGGCCAACATTGGCCGGGGCAGCAGGAGCAGGCGTCCGATGGGTCTTGACCCTCCGATGGTCAAGGATGTAGTGTGTGTGTGTGTGTGTGTGTGTGTGTGTGTGTGCGTGCGTGTGCGCGCGCGCGCACGCTAAATATTGGCCCTGTTAAAGTGTACATGTGTACAGTTATTTCAGGTGTGGGAGAGCCTGACCTCTGCTAAAGGAGTGTTAGGTCTGTCACTCACGCTCAGGTGTCCAGTACATAAAGCCGAGAGACTCTAGTAGAGGGTTTGATTAGGTTAAATCGAGTTAAATTAGGTTAGTGTAGGTTAAGTTTGGTTAGCTTAGGTTAGGTTAGGATAAGTTATGGTAAGTTATGTTAGGTTAAATAACGTTGGGTTAGATCAGTGTTGTTCAAACCTTTTCACTCCATTCCCCCCATGAGGAACACTCACATCCTCGTGGCCCCCTTCAGTTCTCTCCCAAGCCCCTCACAAATAATGATGAAAATAAACTGTTTTGGTAATCTTCCTTTATTTTAATGTTTACAATCATCAAACAGAATGCATATTTTGTTACAGTTCAATGGGATGGATGACATTGTTTCTTTTCAGTCAGTTGACTGATTCGAGGTTGAGTCACTCATAAAGCACATCTCATGTCTGGGTCCACATGTAACCGGTTTCGGCTTTTATTCTCTATTTGAAGAAGGGTCGAGAAACCAGATTCACATAAATAAGTAGTAGAAAATGGCAAGAGGACTCGAAGTGCGATCTCACTAACTTTTTTATATGACTGATACATTGAGCACCAGAATACAGTCAGATTTTTCTTCATAGAGGTCTCTGGCAGCAGATTCGTTCCTGAGATCAAGGAATCCGTCCTGACCATCGTCGGGAATGGCAGCAATATCAAGAGTGCCAGAGAAAGGATTCCTCACCAATTTCCCTTCTTCCTCCTCGAATTCTGGAAAGTACCTTTTGAGCTCACTTTCCAAGGATTTCAAGTGCTGAATTATTTCATTTTTGAGTGATGGGTCAAGTAGATGATCCTCTTCAATCTCGTGAAGAACAGTTGAGATATTCTCAAACATGGCAACATTTCCTGCACTGACTTTCCTTTGCCAGTTCTGGAGTTTGTCAAGAAATGCACGAATACAATCCATGTGGTGAAACACATTTCTTTCCTTGCCTTGTAGCTTGAGATTCAGCCTGTTTAGCTGCTCAAATATGTCTGCCAGGTACGCAAGACGTGGCTCCCACAACACCTCGTTGAAGTGACTTAGTAGATCATCCTTCCCTTTCATTTCCAGGAACAACTTATGTTCTCCCGAAGTTCGAACACTCGATTCACAACATTACCAGTGGAAAGCCATCGCCCTTTGGAGTAAAAGAGGAGGGTTTCATGCTTTGAATCGATGCCTCTACAGAGGTTCTGAAAAAGAGGAGAGTTCAAATCTCCTGCTTTCACAAAGTTGACGCATTTTACCACTGCTTCCAGGATATTACAAAGGGCATCAGGAAGGGTTTTCGACGCCAGTGCAAAACGATGGATCATACAATGAACCCCTTTGGCCTTCAGAGTTACTTCCTTGACGTGCTTCTGTAACCCCGATTTCGATCCCAGCATCGCCGGAGCCCCATCGGTACAGACTCCACAAAAAATTTTCCAGGTGATCCCGTTATTTGTGAAGAAAGAAGTCAACTTTTCCATCACATCTCAAGCTGTTGTGGTAGTTTCAAGCTGAGTACAGAACTGATATTCATCCTTGATGTCACGCAAGAATACATACCTAACAAACACTAGTAGCTGTGCACAAGAACTCACATCCGTTGACTCATTCAACTGTATAGCAAACATATCAGTTGGAGACGATTTAATCTCCTGAATCACTTGTTCCATGATATCATCTGACATTTCACTAATTCTCCGTTTCACCTTGTCGTCTGACAAGGAAATCGGCTGAATCTTACGTTCCCTTGCCTCTCCAAGAACCCGCTTGACCATCTTTAAAGCACACAGCTTAATTAAAGTTTCACCAATCGTGTGGGCCTTCTTCTTCTTTGTTATTTCAATGGAAACCTCATATGATGCCTCAACTACACTTGAGTTCTGTTGTTGGAAGGCACCACTCTTATCCAGTCTGTTTTTCCAAACTCCGTTCATGGCGCTTGAAGAAATCGGGGTCTCTCCGCATACTGGGGGGGGGGATTGTCGTCAGATGATTCTTCAGCTTACTAGGCCTCATAGAATCGTTCCCCAACACTTTAAAACACAACACACACTGAGGTTTCTAAATGCCCTCAAAGAGGATTGATGTAAATCCGTAGTTAATGTATTCACCATTGTACTTCCGCTTCTTAGCAACACTGACAGCCATCGCCAATCTAAGGAAATTATAAATAAAACAATGCCAAACAGACGAATGATAAAGACTAAAAATTATAATAATAAAAAACAAATATAAGATAATCATGAATCTCTTGGTTTTACTAAAAATTTGTAATCTCTCTCTCTCTCTCTCTCTCTCTCTCTCTCTCTCTCTCTCTCTAAATGTTGATTAGTTCTTTAAAAAACAGAATGCCACAGAAACAGACGAATGATAAAGACTAAAAATTATAATAATTAAAAACAAAAGATGAGAAATTAATCCGAATGCAAACACACAAACATACATGAAGTCCATACATACTGTATGTAAACATACATAAAGTACATATCTTGAGCAAGACTGAGAACATTCGGTCTGATCACCACTTGTAAGGCGCCCGGACATCACCCAGCGCCCGCCACCCTGCTGACAGGAACTAGAATCGTGCAATGTGAGCGAATCCGTTGGAAATGAAAAACTAGCTGCTGGACCATACTGTGTAAATATTAAAACTGTACCGTACGGGTATTATGATGACACACAATGACAAAAAAAGACAAATACAAAAACACGATTTCTCCCCTAACAAGGCAAAGTAAAAAAAAAAAAAAAGTTGATTCAGAGTTTCCACATTTTCTCCAAACATATACTACTTACACAGCCCGCCATGGCCCTCCTAAAATCTTGCCGTGGCCCCCAGTTTGAGAAACACTGGGTTAAATCTACACGTGACATGTAATCAGAAAGTGGGTCCCATAATCTTGACGACCTAGTCGGCACACTACAGTATATTAAGTTTTCGATACACAAGAAGGCAGCCTGGCCGACACTGTACTCGACCACCTTCACTTCCTCAACTGTGAAGTTACAATGCAGGTAACAATTTATACCTGAGTTGAATGGGATCTAACTAGCGACCCTTAGAACAGGAGATAAGAGGCAAGCGTAGTTCCCACTCAACCACCGTACCCAACTATACGTTACATGGCGTTAATCATCCCAGGGGAACATAAGAATTCAATTGTTTCCATTTCTTTCAAAGTGAAAAATTACTGGTGCTCATATGGGATCATCTGAAGATTAGACATCCCAGCTTATTTCACTTGAACATTAACCACCCTAACACTTGCCTAACCTAACCTAACGCTAACCTAATCTAACATAGCCTAACCTAACGTAAGCTAACTTAATCAAGTCGATCTTAATCTAACACACACTACTGTACCCACACTTCCAGGTAATCTAAGGTCTCTCTCATCTTCCGGTGATCCATACATTGTTCTCCATTTACCTTCATGTTAAGTATATCTGAGATACACACCTCAACTAGTGGTCAGAGCCTTCCCAGTCGGACTAAAAAAAAACCCATATATAATACAGGGTGATCAAGAAACAATGCCCAGATTTTGATATATACAGGGTGGTCGAAAAAAAAATCCTAGATTTTAATACGTAATGCCATCAAAAAAAATGTTCAGATTTTAATTTATACAGAATCAGGAAAAAAAAAAAAAAGAATATCCTGATAACATAAACATTTAAAATCTGAGCAATAATTTTTTGTCCATTACACTGTACAACTGGGGACATCAGAGAGAGAGCACCACCTCACTGCTGCAGTCTTTTACCCTCGCTGCCTCCATGGGGTGGGAGGGGGCGTCATCATATCCAGTGTGCATTTCAAGGGGTCAGATTTGTCTTGTTGAAAGTGACACCTTGGAAGTCAGTGTTGATCCGCCAGTTCTTGTAAATAACTGACAGGTGTTGTGATTGGTTCTGACGTCCTCAAGGGGGTGTAAGAGAATTGACTTCCTCGCTCTCTCTTCTCTTTCATTTTGCCTGTCTGTCTATTTCTTTCTTTCTTTCTTTCTTTCTTGCTCAGTTTTCTTACACAGTGCTCATTAACGCATAAACTATTATTACATAACACCCCACTGGAAAAAATGTGTCCAAAATTTATAGGTTTCTAAAGTCCCAGTCCCATCACACATCTCACCACCACCACCACCACCCTACCACCACCACCACCACCACCACCACCTTCCCTACCACCACCACCACCACCCTTCCACCACCACCACCACCTTACCACCACCCCACCACCACACCTTCCTTACCACCACCACCACCACCACACCTTCCTTACCACCACCACCATCTCCCTTACACCACCACCTCCCTTTACCACCACCACCACCACCACCACCACCTTTACCACCACCACCACCACCACCACCACCATCATCCCCTTACCACCACCCCTTTACCTTCCTTACCACCCTCACCAATCTCATTCACCACCACCACCACCCTCCCCACCCACACCACCACCTTACCACCACCACCTCACTTACCACCACCACCACCACCACCACCATCAACTCCCCACCACCACCACCTCCCCCTACCACCACCTCCTTACCACCACCACCACCTCACCACCTCCCTCACCCCCACCACCCTCCCCACCACCACCACCACCACCCCTTACCCACCACCACCTCCCTACCACCACTCCCACCACACCACCACTTCATCTCCTTCCACCACCACCTCCCTTGCACCCTCCTTACCCCACCTCCACTTCCACCCTCCACCACCCCACCACCTTCCCCTCCACCACCCACCACCTTCCTTACCACCACCACCACCACCATCATCTCATTACTACCACCACCCTCCCTTAACACCACCACCACCACTATCATCTCCCTTACCACCACCACCTTCATACCACCACCACCACCCTCCTCCACCACCACCACCACTATCATCTCCCTTACCACCCACCACACTCCCCTACCACCACCACCCCCACCTTCCTTACCACCACCTCAACTTCCTTACCACCACCACCTCCACCACTATCATCTCCATTACCACCACCACCTTACTCACACCCACCACCACCACCACTATCATCTCCCCACCTCACCACCTTCCTACCACCACCACCACCACCACACCTCTCCCACCACCACCACCACCCCTTACCACCACCACCTTCATACCACCACCACCACCACCTTCATACCTCCACCACCTTCCTACCACCACCACCTTCGTACCACCACCACCACCACCACCTTCCTTACCACCACCACCAGCTTCCTTACCCCACCACCACCACCACCTTCATGCAACCACCACCACCTTCCCTACCACCACCACCACCACCACCACCCACCATATCATCTACCACCACCTCCCTTACCACCACCACCTCCCTTACCACCACCACCCCACCACCTTCCTTACCACCACCTTCCTTACCACCCTATCATCTCCATTGCCACCACCTCATACCACCACCACCACCACCTATCATCTCCCTTACCACCACCACCTCCACCACCACCACCACCACCACCGCCACCTTCATACCACCTCCCTTACCACCACCACCTACCTTCACCACCACCACCACCACCTTCATACCACCACCACCACCACTATCATCTTTCCTTACCACCACCACCTCCTTACCACCACCACCACCACTATCATCCTACATACCACCTCCCTTACCACCACCACCACCGCCACCACCTTCATACCACCACCACCACCACCACCTTCACTTACCCACCACTACCACTATCATCTCCCTTACCACCACCACCACCACCACCACCACCACCATCATCTCCCCACCACCACCTCCTTACCACCACCACCACCACCATCATTATCACCATCACCATTATCATCATCTTATCATCATCACCATCACCACCGTCATCATCATCTTAATCTTATCATCACCATCACCACCGTATCATCATCTTAATCTTATCATCATCACACCACCATCACCACCATCACCATTATCATCATCATCATCATCATCATCATCTTCTTATCATCACCATCACCACCCTCACCACCATCATCATCATCATCATCATCATCATCTTATCATCATCACCATCACCATCACCACCACCACCATCATTATCACCATTATCATCATCATCTTATCATCATCACCATCACCATCATCATCTTAATCTTATCATCACCATCACCACCATCACCATTATCATCATCATCTTATCATCACCACCACCACCATCATTATCCTCATTATCATCATCATCTTATCATCATCACATCACCATCACCACCACCATCATTATCACCATTATCATCATCATCTTATCATCATCACCATCACCATCATCATCATCTTAACATCATCCCATCACCACCCTCACCCACCATCATCATCATCTTAACATCGCCACCCACCACCCATCATTAACATTATCATCATCTTATCATCACCATCACCACCCTCTACCGTCACCACCGTCACCATCTCACCCACACAAATTATTAAATACAAAACAGGTACATCAGACAAAAATATTGTGGTCATGTTATAATTTGATCGACCCAAGGAGGCAACATCCCACAAATTAGCGATCGTTCACCCTATTTTTATGTTCCAATTAATTCCATCCATTTTTCTTGATGTTATTACGTTACTTTATAATCTCTAATGTAACATATTATTCAGTTATTTTAGATATAGTTTGTGGTGAAAAGTTGTGTGTTGTTGTGTGTGTGTGTGTGTGTATGGGTTACTGTATATTACATAACTTATAGACGATACAAAAGAAAATCCTGGACCCTGCTATCCGGATCCTGCCCGGACCCACGGACCCCTATACCTGGACCCTGCTACCCGGACCCTTGCTGCGGACACTGCCTGACCCTGCTACCTGAACCCTGCTGCGGTTCTGCTGCTGGCCTGCTACCCGGACCCTGCTACCTGGACCTGCTACCTGAA